GATTCTATGACAGTCTGTATTTTCTCCAACTGTCTGATCTGCAGGGTAGTAGTTATTCTGGTTAAGATACCGTATGAATTCCATGACAACAGTCCAGTGCATATCTTTTGATGTTCTTGTTTCAAGCTGGAGATACAAATCGGTGCAATAGTCTACTTGCTTTTTGTCTTGAAGATTACGATTTCAAACATAGAATGCAAGACGCTGACTTAAATACAGGTCCAGATTCTCAAGCACAAAATGACAGCCTGCAGGAAAAAGTGCTGCTTGCCAGGATGGGGTTGGTTGCTTAGCAATGAACTATTTATCTGGAAAGGGACCCAGAAAAGTGATCAAGATGGTTTGAAAAAATAGTTTGAGTAAAGGATTTTTTAAAGTCAGCAGTGTTTAACAATTTGGATTGGAATTTGAAATGATAAGACTCTGCAGAAACTCTGATTTTTGAGTTGAATTTGGCATGATTATTTAAGGCTTGCCCTCTGCTGCCTTTACTTTTAAGGTAGCCGACCTGCAGACTGTACCACTAAGTGTGCAAGTCAGTGAGACCTGATAAGCTGATAAATGTTGATAATCCTTTAGCAAGCCTTGCAGTATTCAGATATAGAGAAACATAGGATTTTGTCCATCACGTGGACACCTGATGAGTTGCTATGTGAAATATATTTCTCTTCCAGCTTCCGTTCATTTTGAACATTGACTCGATCTGTCGTATTGTAATATTATGTGCTGTCCTGATTATTTCAAGAAGACATAAGGATCCAAATATGCTATAGGCTGTATTGAAGATTTCGTAAACAGAGTTAAAGCTTGATGTGAGGCTGTGATCTTGGACAGGAACTGAGTCTGGAGTGAGATGAGTTAATAAGGGAGAACATTAATGTAAATTGTTGGACCATAAAAGTGAGTTCATTACTTTGCATGGTTAGCTGTGCCCTCCTGTGAAAAATGCTCTTCAGATTGTAAGGATTTACTCGGGGTGGATTGCAGGTATCTCGAACTTGTATCTGTCTCTCTTCTGTAGCACTGGTTGCTGTAGTAGGTGCTCAAGGTCATGTGATAAGTGAGCAGCCATGTCACTACGGAGGCTGATTTCAGCCTTGTTAATAGTTCAGATTTCAGGTCATCTTTATATTCAAGAAATTTGAGAAAGATTAATCAGCAATATGGATTTGTGTTTCATCTAAATACTATGTGCTGTGCGGTCAGTGAGTGGAAAAGAAAGCTGGTAAAATCAGCTCAAGCTAAAAATCAGCCAGAAGTACACTTGCAAACAATTTATCTCTTTCCTTTTGACTTGTAAATATTGTCTTTAGTTGATGATTGATTATTTAAAAAAGGTGTCATTCAGAACGGCACTCCAGGTAGAGCAGAACCCCATTTTGCAGTTGATTTATTAAATTTGAAACACCAAGTGCTACTCCATGTTCCTTGTTTACTTCCAGGTGGGTTTTCAAGCAGCTGTATGACAAAGGACTGGTGTATAGAGGTGTTAAGGTCATGCCTTTTTCAACTGCATGCAACACCCCACTGTCAAACTTTGAGTCCCATCAGAATTACAAGGTAAGTCAGTATATGAGTACATTATACGTTGCAATCAGATTTCTCTATTGTTTTCAGTTTGGATTTGGAAAGCTTTAGTATTTTTTGCTTGGTGCTACATGAGCGTATTATTACACTCCAAATTGGTAGTAAAAATTTAGGTAAATGGATTAGTTTCTATTATATTTTGCTGTTTTTGTTTGGATCACTTGATCTCAGCCTTCTTCCCTGTTCTTCTTGGTTACTACTTACATATATAAAAAGTACATACTTTGTTTTATTCTGGTAAATTACTCTCACTTCCTCTCGAGGCTCTAAAGGTGAGTATTGCACCGTGTTGGGTTTTTGTGGTAAATACTTAGAGGAGAGGTGCAGCTGTCCCTGTCTGTGCAGATCTGAAAAGAGGAAGGTCCTTGGCAGAGCTGAAATCTCTTGTGAGGGGTTTAATAAGAATTTTCAAAGACTGTGTTTGGTTGTAGTGCAGTAGGATAATAGGTCTTCTAAGAATCATTAATTTAGATTGAGAAATTCCAGGAAATGTTTTACCTAATATAATGCATGGTATACTGTGTTTTATAAGATGTTCCTTTAAAAATGAATGACTAGATATAGTAGGTGCAGCTTCTCATTTGCAAAAAACTTGGGTTCACAATGTGAAGGCAGAACTTGTGTCCCAGTTTTCCAAATTCTATGTTAGTTTGTCGACAGAGGTTTTGTATCCTTTCTAATCCCCGTCCAGGCCTCTGTATCCTTATACCATAAATCCTTCACTTGTGTTGTGGTTTAACCCCAGCTGGCAACTAAGCACCGCGTAGCTGCTTGCTTACCCTTTCCCCCAGTAGTGGGATGGGGGAGAGAATCAGAAGAGCAAAAGTAAGAAAACTCATGGATTGAGATCAGAACAGTTTAATATGTGAAATAAAATAATAATCATAATAATAATAAATTGTAATGAAAAGTAAAACGAGAGAGAAAGGAACAAAACCCAGGTGAAAAAAAACCAAACACGTGATGCAGCTGCTCACCACCGGCCGACTGATGCCCAGCCAGTCCCAAAGCAGCGATCACTGCCCCCCGGCCAACTCCCCCCAGCTTAAAAAGGCCAATTTGCTGGCCAAAAATAGTGTTTTTACATCAGACTTGTAGTACAATGCAGTCCACAGATACTAGAGCTTTCAATATTGCTGAGGGGTAATTGACCCTACTGAAGAATAAAGGTTTTGTGATTTAAGAAAGTGAGACCTGCAAAGATATCTCAATATTTGTGACTGTCTCACAACTGAAATAATTACTTTGCTCGTACTTATTAACTGACATTTCACTTAGGCTCAGGTTAATGAGCTTTCTTTAGGACAAAGACTGTGAGTGGTTTTGGGGGTGTGTGTGTGTGTGTGCGTGCCCCTTTTCCATAGAGCAAAGCTCTTTTCTGTTCTTGAGTCTTAATGAAATATTTAGATGCTATTTCTTATTCTAGAACCAGTAGAGCGTGGCGGGGAGGGGGTGGCGGTGCTGCTCTGCCACTTCATGCAAAAATTATCTTTTTTGCCTCCTAGAGGAGGTATTTTGAAGACTGAAATGTTGAGGGTCTGTAAGCTGACACTTATTCTTGGCGAGACCAGTCATTTCTGGGTGTGAGGCAGCTGTTATCTTTCTCACTGTGGAAAGCAGGCTTTGGCTTCTGTTTATCGATCCTGTGAGAAACAGGACACAAATCATGAGAAATGGGACACAAGAAGCATGTTTAGAAACTGAGTTAGGTGTCTGATGTACACTTGAGTGAACTATGTCAGCAGCTTGTACTACATTTAACCAAAGAAGCCTTGTCTTCAGATTAAAGCAGGCACAATTTTATGAACAGATAAAATATTATACAATGCCATTATTTGGCAGCCTGGATGTTATTTTTTATGGCTTCCAGGTTGTTTTGATCTACCTGGTCAACTTAGTGCTTCAGAAAATGAAGTGAATAGCCTACAGTGTTGTTTAACAACTGGTAGAGACAGAACTGTGGTGATAGCTCGATCTTTGCTTGGTATTGAGCGTGGTTTGAGAGTTATGTAATATTTATGTTTTACTGTTGACTGCACCAGATGTTCACAGAAAATTCCCTCTGGAGCAGCCCTTAGCTCAGATATAAATAGCTGCCTGTCTCATGATGTCCTTAACTGTTCCATGATGCTGGATGGAAACCGGAGTGCCTCGCACTAGAAGTGATGGGGGGATAGGACCTGTTCATGTGTTTAGGGTCTGTGCGCATGAAACCCATTTTTGTTTGGCATTTAAAATTAATAGTGAAAATTTCACATTTGCAAGATTAGAATTGCTTTTTCAATCTGCTTTTCATAATATCTGAAATGTGAAGTGACTGAATAAGATTGTAGATGCCTGAAAGAAAAACTTGTTTTCAGGGGATTCTTTTGACTCATTTGGAGATGAAGTTTTATAGAAGAGCTGACAAAAGTCTCCTTCCCTGAGTTTTTTTTTTTACTCTTAAGTATTGACGTACTCTTGTTTTTAGGTACCCAAAACTTTTTTTTCCTTGTTAACAACAGCTTTTTAATATGAGATTGCATCTTTTTAAGTGATGGCTATTCTTCCTACTCCCTGACTCTAGAGGAAAAGGTGGGAAAAGGCGGGAAAAGGCTTTGTGCAGTAGTATCTGGGAAACTGCTGATTTCCTTGACAGTTGAGATTGATTATAAACTTGTAAAATGGGGTTATAGGAGGTACCTGAGGGAACTGGCACTCGGCTCTCTGTGGTGTTTTGGCAGCTAATTCCCAAAATCTCACTGCTAGTCTGAATTGTTAACCCTATGGCCTTGTTGGACTGACACTTTGCACTGGTATAATGGAGGAACATTGCGATTGTTCTCTTCAAGCTTTCTTATGCTCCCACTTCACCTTCTACCACTACAGTGATGAACTAGGCAAGTTGCAAGATAGGTTTTGGTGGATGGCAGTAATAGTTACTACTTCTTAGATTTGTATTTTCTCCCTAATACATGCAGTAAGCCTTCTCCTCTCTCCCCTCTTTTTCCCCCTTTGACTTTATCTTGTTTTTAAGGACGTTCAAGATCCTTCAGTGATTGTGAGCTTCCCGCTGGATGAAGATGCAAGTGTTTCTCTTGTTGCTTGGACCACTACTCCTTGGACCTTGCCCAGTAATTTGGCACTTTGCGTTAATCCAGAGTTGCAATATGTAAAATTGAGAGGCAAGTGTTAACTGAAGGTGACATATAATGAACACTTCTTTCTTCAGTGACTGTGAATATGTACTTATATTTTGTATGATAGACTGTTTTATGCTGAATTCATAGCACTTTGCTGGGGTTGCATCAATGTTATTTTGAAGGATGAGATTTACTTTGTGTGGCTGATGATTTCCAGCTGCTGTCCTCTTTTTATTTTACATGCGTTGTGAGGACTGTTCCCTAAAAAATATTGATAGATGAAATAAAGAATAAGAGCAAATGTTTTATCTCTCGTCTTAAAGTCACACTATATTTGAGAGACAGGGAAGTGTGACTGGGTGTCGCCAGCTTTTTTTCTCCTGCCTTTCTTGGGGCTCAGACTCATGAACAAGTTACTGCTATACGACAGCTAAGTTGCAGTAACTGAACATCTCTGTACTCTTAACCCATAACACCCAAGATGTCACATGCTAGTCTCAACCTGACTGAAGTGTGTTTTTTAGCACAAATGTACGGCAAGGTATATACCGTGGTTTCCAATGTAAGAGTACATTTGACCAAGTGCCTTGGCTTACTCATGGACCAGTTGGTTGTGCCTGACTAAACAAGTTGTACTATAAGGTATTCTCTTTCATGAGAGCACCCAGCACTTCAGGAATTGTATGCCACAGACCATGTAGGGTGCCTAAACAATACAGGCTGTTGCTTTTCTCGTTACTGCTTCAAGTAGTTTCCAGGGTCTGCAGTTCCTTTTTTTTTTTTTTTTTTTTTTTGTTGACAATGGAGTGTGTTATGATGAGTCTTCCTTTTCACTTAGGAAAGGAATTTATTTTATTCTTGAAATGCAGTTGTCTTTAATTATATCTTGATTTACAAAACCCTTTGTTTTTTAAAAATTTAAATAAAAAAGTAAGCAGGTATTTGGATAAAAGTACTTCTTGCATTGCTGTTTTCAGGTTCTCTCAAACTGCTCACTTTTTCTGATTTTGTCAGTGTATGTTTTTAAAAAAAAAAAAAGGGGGGGGGAAGAGATAATCAGGTTAATGATGGCATTTAATCTGGAATAAAAAAATGCCAAAAGTATAATTTCCGGTTCCAGCATAACCACATGAATCTAATGTGTGCCTAAAGTGATGTTAAACATGAAAAGCTGCAGAGGCCTTTAAGTGAACTCCAGGTGTTTAGTTCTCTTAAAACAAAGAAAACCCAAATATGTTTTCGTTTTCAAAGGTTTTAACATAAATTTTGTCATCTCAAAAAGAGTTACTGGGTACTTTCAGAAATAACACCTACACCTGCCTGAGATGCTGAGTGTTGGGTTTGGATGTCTTTGGCCTACAGTCTGCTGGTGGGATAGTGACCCTGACTATGTTGATAGGGTAGTAGTCTGAATAAAATTTGTCACTGAAGTTAAGAGATCAGGGTTATTTCCGGGTAGAAAATTGATTTCCTTCATAACGTTTCACTCTTTATTTGTACTTCCTTCCTTTAAAAAGAAATCCAAGCATAAAATTGATTGGAGTAGTAAATGTCAGAAAGGCAGCATAAAGTGCAATTGTTACCCCTAATGTCAACATAATAATATTGATTTTATGTAGTAATTGTCCATCTTCTAATTGGTTTCAGTTACATATACTGAAACTTTTCCATTGCTTTTCTCTGGCACAATGAAAATAGGCAAGATAGGGTATTTCTGCCTCTCGAACAAAAAACCACACTGAAAATAAGTGGACTGTGTTTCATCCTGTGGTTTCTGTTTAAACTTAACTTTTGAAAAGTGTTCATTAAGTGGCTGTATGGGGAAGAAGTAGCTGGAAATTAGTGGTCGATCAGCAGGATTATTCTGGGCAGTTTTATAGCTGATATGATACCATCTTGCATAAATTGAAAGGTTTCGTAATGGTGCAAATGAGGGTATTAAATTGAGATTTATGTAACTTTTTGTTTTATTTTATATTCTAGATAATGCCACAGAAAAGATTTACATTTTGATGGAATCCAGGCTGATAGCACTGTACAAATCTGACAGTGAATATGAGATACTTGACAGGCAAGTACATAAATTATTACACACTTGTTAACTTCCAGTATTTTTATAGATCAGAAGTTAAATGTTTCAGGAAGTTGGATTTTGCCGTTATCTAAAGATGGGTTTCCCTGCATGTGTGTATATCTTGCAAAAATCTATAAAAGAGATTGAAAAAGTTTGCTTAGTCTGTCCTTTTCCTGTGTGTTTTCTTAGAAAGACGTTACCTTAATGTAAAAGTCTCAAAAAACCCTGGAGATTATCCAAATACTGAATACTTTCTAAACATTGGGTAAATATTTAAAAGAAAATGGAAAAAAGCAAAACCATGTCTTTAGCAAGCAAATACTGCTTCCATAGGATGGTCTACCTAAGTTACATAGTTAGTGGCAGTTAATGCTTTCTGAAGACTGCTTATTCATCATGGTTCAGTGGAAAAATACAAATTACTAAATAAGTCAGACTGTATAGGGAATGCAGGTGTTAAATTCTGTAGCTCTCTTAGACAAAATAGATAGCTTGACTTCCCTTAAATCTTTTGTATAAAACATCAACTTGTTGAAGAGGTGAAGTACAACAAATATTTATTCAGTCCTGTGTGGTGGGTAAAAAAAAACAACCAACCAACCAACAACAACCCCCCCCAAACAAAAACAAAAACCAAACCAAACTAACAAAACACAATAAACCCAACAAAAAACCATACAACACAAAACCATGATAAAACAAAACAAAACAAAAAAATCAAAGACTAGAATTTTTTTTGAGAATAACAAGCCTTCTGCACTGGCACCAGTTATTTTTATTTTTATCTTTTTTTACCAAGCAGTTGAAAACTTTGCAACATGTAAAAAACATTATAAAAAAGGAGGATACATCTATTTCAGCTAAGCAATTACATGTAGTCATTGAATTAGGGGAATGCAGAGCTGGAACGTTTGCTTAAGAGGTTGTCTACTCTGATGCCTCATACTGTGACAGTTGAGTAATTCTTATTTTGTATTTCTGCACTGATTTCTCCTTCCCTGCCCCTCCCCGCCCCCCCAACTGAATTCTCTTCATCTGTCACTTACTCTGTAGCAATTTAAGCTGGTACTCAATTTATAAAGACGATTTTCAGTGTGCTTATTCTTCAGGGTTGACAGAACTTCTGATCTCCAGATTTTTTTTCCTCCCTTCCTTTTTTTCCTCACCAGTAAAACCATTGAATAGTGTCAGCATTATGATAGTCTCTGCCAGGATACCACTGGAAATTTTCTTTCAGTCTGATACCGAATTAACAGTAACTTTTTTTCTCAAAGAGGTGGTGCGTCCATGTAAATGTACCACCCAGTTAAAGTATTTGTGTGTGTCTGAATGACATGTCAAAGTGTCAGAAGTCTTACTAACATTAAGACTTAAATCTATCTGCTTGCTTGCTATCTAAGCTAGGTAGTCTGCGTAAAAAGAAGTAATTTGGCTTGGTGTGACTTGTTCTTGACAAATTCATATTGTATCTTCTTTAGCACTTCACTTCTTAAAAACTCTTCAATCATTTAAAGTTGAATCAGGTTGTTATGCTAGTCTGACTGGTTTTTAGGTCCATCAGTATTCTCTCTTGAAGTATAGGTACTGTGTTGCTTTCCAGTCTTTTGAAACTTCTTCAGAGTGTCTGAAAACTAAGCCTTCTACTAAAACCACTCTATTTTCTTAAACATTTTTGCATGCGTTTCCTTTAGACTTAAAAAAATATAAGCAAGGTAGATGTATTAATTCTTGTTGATCTATTGTCTTTTGGTTCCAAATTCTTCTTTTAATGGAATACTACAAATTTAATTTCTGTCTGGTTGCAGTCATTCCAGGAATGCACTGAACATTTTGGCCTTTTTTGGTGTGGTGTTTTCATCAGAACTGTGAAGCACCTGCTCTTTAAGACAATCATACACAGGTTTCAGTTGTCATTGCTTATGTCCTGGCTAGTTGTATTTCTAATTTCTCCCCTTCCCCTGCCTGCAGAGATGCTTAATGTGGGCTGCACTTCCCCAGGAAACACCCCATGCTTTCCGGTTGTTTTTTGGTTTGGTTTGGTTTTTTTAATCTCTCTGCCTATACATAAGGCTATTAGCAATTTCTATTCTCATTGCAGGGCAGTATATTTTTCTTCTTTCTGTGTTAGTGCTACAGTCTTCTCAAGCTGACAATTTTTTTTTTGGTCATGCTCCAATTTTTTTTTTTTTTTTTT